AGAACACCATCCTTTTCTTCTACTGTACTCCTCCTCTGCATTGGGAGGGTCCAGGCATCCTCCTCCCGCATTTCCTGGACCCTTTTTTCCGTAAAAACGCCTGTAGCAACTTTTAGGAGCGATTCTGCGCTCCTAGACTACTCTGCCTTAGCTCTATCGCACTGAGTCTTTGAAGAATTTGCTCAAGGATCGTGTTTTGAAAATTTTCTTTCTGTTCTGTACTGTGAACTCCTGTTTCTGGAGGTTTCCTGGTGTTACAAATAATATTTTCTTTACTTCTATTGCTTTCGGATAATGGTGTAGTTCTCCTTTTTGGACGAGGTGCAGCGGCTACATCTTTATGAGCGGTTAACTTGTTGGCTTTCGTTTTTCTCCTCTTATCTGCCAAGCCACGTGTCTCGTTGCTTTCTCTTTTGCGGTTACAGTTCCCTTCTTTCGTGGGCATCTTCCACTCCAATTTAGTGCTATAATAATAAGGAATTGATTCCTGTGCTTGTACCAAATCTTCCTCAGTTTTAAAGTATACATGTGCCTTTCTGCACTGATTACCATTACGATTATTTAGTATGTGCACTGCCTGCACCTTGAATCTTTTTAATTGTCTGAGAAGCAGGCTATCGAACGCATTTGTTGGTACATTAAAGATTGTACTTTTGAACTTGTTTCGTTCTTCTAATTCTTTAATGTTGAATTTCCCGGGTGTTATTCGATAAGTTTTACCCTGATCCAAATGTATGGACCAATTTTCTTTTAAGGAGTTTTCTCTCTTCTCTATGCTCGACACAATCCTAATAAAAGCTGCTTTGGTAGTAAAGTTATGTTGCCACGCTAGTATTGTTGCTTCTCCAAAATATCTAAGAAATTTTTTAATTTCTTCACTACTCATATCTCTTGGGAGGTCCCACAAAGTGAAAAAGTACAGTGATTCGTGTGTATACTTTTCTGATATGTGTTTACCACTCGGAGCCCACATTGAGTTGAATATGTCCTCTTGTTTTTTGGGTTTTTTCCGTTTGCCTTCTACCCTTGTGGACTTTACTTTGTTGCTAGCTAATGCCTCTTCGAGACCATAGTCAAGTGTACCGACCTCATTTTGAATAAGTGTATTTACTCTTGCCTCTTGATTATGCTCGGCTAAGTCACTACTATTCTCCTGTTCTACGAGGCACCTTTTGCGAGAGCTGCCATTGGTGTTGCAATTTGTGTTACTACTATAATTTTCTGATGTACTCACAGATTTTGTGAGAATAAATTCCATATCTGTAGGATTTGGATTAAGACTATTGTCCTCTTTCTGTGTTATCTCTGTACTACTGTTTTGTCCCAGTAGGATTTTCTCCTCATCGGATAGTATATCCTGCTTGAACTCCTTGTTTCGGGCCCAATTATACCTTTCAACAACCTCACGTAAAGCTGCTATAAAAAGTACATCTTTACAACCTAAAAAGTCTGCAATGTGTCTGTCTTGTTCAACTAAGGTCAGCTTTTGTTCTTTGTATAATACTAGTTTCTCCTCTTCAGATTGGTTAAAGAAGTTTTTGTACTTCCCGAGTGCTGGCATTGTTTCTTTCACGTGATTTGTGTATCAGTACGTTGCTTAATATAACACTTTACTTTTGGCTTAAACTCTAACTAAGTCACGTGTTTTTACGTGTTTTTACGCGTTCTTGACGTGTCTTTATGTGTAATATAGGTTGTTAATTTCGTGTATCCTTGAGTGTCTTTGTGTGATAATCTTGTATTACACCAAGGATCTACACTACAGGGTTAATGCTATTTTCCCTAAAATTAAAGAAGCAAGTACCGTTTTTTAACAATCTAGAGTGCCTTTGTGTTTTAGCACTTCTATGTCAAGAAATATTGTATTTGACGTTCTATCTAGGCCTCTGCTACTGCTGAACTGACTTTTATTGCTTATACAATCTTCTGTTAGGTTTTGTCACGTTCAGCTTTTGAAATCACTCTCGCTGTGTTTTTGGAGTTTTGCCCTTTTTCCACTTGCAAGTCGACTAGCTATTGTGAGACTACCTTGCGTCTATGTCTTTTTTATTGACTACTAGTATCTAGCACTATTATATTGTCTTATAAATTGGAAAACAGAAGCTTTTCCTTCTTGCTAATTTTTGTACCAAGTGATCGTTGGGAAGAGTGTTGATTATTATGTCCAACTTCATGTTATAAAATATATGTATTAATATATATGTTCATATTGTATATATAAATATATAGATTTATCAATTAATATTAATTTCTGGGTAACTTATACACTTTTAAAATACTTTTTGAAAATTATAAATAGCAATTTTTTTTAATTTTATAAAAGTAAAGGTTTAAAATTAATCTTTATTATCATATATTTACAAAAGATAGTTAAGACACAACTTCTCAAAAAATGTAAAAAAAAAGCTTCATTCAAATTTAAACATATGCAAAAACAATCATTAACAGAATAGCCATCTTTTTTTAGAGATTGATTTAAATTAAATGTTTATAATGAGCTTGTTGGTATAAGAGGTTTCTGGTTATACATATTTTAGATATTCTTAAATTTATGTAGTTTGGGTTTATTAGTTTGATTGGTTGATAATTATATATAGAACTACAAATTGATCTCAGTATATTAATCTGATTATAATTCAGTTTAAGCTTCTCCGATTTGAATTTAAATAACAACTAGTTTTAAGTCACTAAAATTAATTTAGTTTTAATTACCTTGCTTGTATCTTTAGGCATTATCTGTATAATTCCTTCTTTATAATAAAGATGTCTGAGTAATTCTTCACTACATCAAATCTCTTAGATTGTATTGCATATTTATTATTTTATTTACATATGCTTGCTGAGTGCTTTTATTTATTATCTTGGTTATTATATACATATACATATTCACTATTATACATCCTAACTTTGTTTACTACCCTGAACTAACTTGACATTATTGTCTGACTACTCTTCCTCTAATAGTAACACAATAACTAAATATTTTAAACAAAAATTTCTTGATAACTACTCGTTATTATTCAATAAAAAGTTTTTTAAATGAATTCTAATAGTTTGTAGAATTCATTTAAAAAAAAAAAATTTTTTACCAAGTTCTGTCAGATAGTTACCAAAAAATCTTTATTCAAAGTTCAAAAAACATTTAGACGCAGTAGTAGAATTTTTTCTAATTTGAATAAAGGTTCTTTATTACCACTTGACCAAATTTGATAAATTTTTTTTATTTAAATTCTGTTACTATAACTGACTTCTTTGTTTATGAAAATTAAATTGTAAAAATTTTTTTGATGTAGCAAATTTTTTTTTTATATTTGATGTATATGTATATTTTTAATATTACAGTCAAACCTCTCTATAGTCACCTCCTATATAAGCACATTTTCTTTATAGGCACATTTTTTTTAAAACAATCTATTATTAAATATAATAAATTTGACCTCTATAATTGTCACACTTCTTTATAATCACACACTTTGGATACAAAACAGTGTGATTGTATAGAGGTTTGACTGTATATTTAAAGTTGCAACTTTAGATATTTAAAGTTGCACCTAACAAGAATTATATGTATGAAGATCTAATTTCAGGGGCTTAATCTTAGTCAGATCAACTTTATATATCTAAAGTTGCAACTTCAGATAGATGGTAACTTTAGATACGACAAGATACGGATAAATAGATAATAGATTTATTTAAATTAGAACTCTAAAAATTATATTTAAATTAAGCTTAATTTAGTATGCATATTAATTTATTCTATATTATTAAAATTTTATTTTTTTATTTTATAGTCACCATTTATAATTTTTATTATAAAGATGATTATATAGAGGTTTAAAATTTATAATCACACCTTTATATAATAGCCACATTAAGGCGCGACCAACTTGGTGATTATAGAGAGGCCTATTTTATGGTACATTATATAATGAGAGTATATTTTTATTTTACAATAATAAAGGTCTATTGTCTTTAATTATTTTATTGGAATTTCGTCTAAGAAGGATGTTTTCAAATGCGCAGATTATTAGATGTATTATAAAATGAAGTAATCTTTTCCTCTATTTTTTTACTAATTAATATACTTTAAATTTTTTTAATAATAAATGCAGAAAAAACTTTATTAAAGTAAATGTCGCGCAAAAAAATTATTAAATTGGTTTAATAAATCATATTTATATTTTGATATTTTATAGCTATATAAAATTATCTTAATAACAGGAAAAAAACTTTAGCAATATAAATATAAAGTAATTCACGCTATAGTAACTATACAATAATACCGTACTATAGTTCTTATATAGATTATGGATTGCCAATTAAATGTTTTATTTTCTTCTTAAAGCCGTTTTAGGATCTAATACCCATTTAAGTGGATTAGATCAACTTAAGTAGTTCTGAATATAAAATATTCCGTACTTTATCAATGAAAACGTTGTTTTTTTCTATATTAATAGATTTTATAATTTCTTATAAGCTTTTAATTTCACCACAATACTATATATTTGTGGATTATGACTCAACATAATTAACATCCTGCATTTGATATATCACAAGACTGCCCAAACAGATCTACCCACCATTCTGGATTCTTATTAAATAAGCCCAGAACAAACAATAGAATTGCTATGATGAAACCGCAAATAGAAAACCAAACATGAAATATTAAAGGTTTAATTAAGTCTTTTTCTCCTTTCAAATGCCATAAGTATGCTAAAGCATTGTTGAATGACCATATGGAACAGATTATTGTGATATATTTGATTCGACAAGAGAATCCAATTGGAGGTTTGAGGAAGGCTAAAATTACTGTAATCCAAGGAAATACTATTGATATGAAAGCAGTTAAAAAAACGGTAATGCATTTATGACTTTTATCATCATGATCATAAATCATAATTATTCTTCTATTCTCAAATTCTACTTTAGGATCTTTGACTACCAGGTTTCCCGAAGATATTCTTCTCCAGAGCGCGGGAATTGTCCAGGACAATAATAATGGTATATATGGCCAATCCTCACAAACAGTTGATCCAGTTGCCGTAGATATCCCTTCCATTGCGCCGATTATGATATAATACATTGGTATTATTGATGATAATCTTTCTAGAACTGATACTTTTGCTGTGCATCTATCTACATATTTGTTTATATTTATGTCTTGACTCTCTCTCCATTTCATAGTATACATTCCGACAGGTCTGTATGATAGTCCTCTATGTTGATTGTCTTCAAAGTTATCTACTGAAAGCCAAAATAGACAGCGAGATTCTTTATTACCTCCTATATTGACAGAGTAAAAAATCCCCATAAATGGGCAACCAAGACATCGTAATATCCATATAAACTTTTTGTAAACTTATTTGCCGGTGACGCGCCTACTATTGCTATAGCTGGCAAGCAACCGAACACATACTGAGGCACAGGTTCTGACAACTTATGTATGAATTGCGAAAAACTCGACATTTGTTCTAGAATTTAAATTAAAACAAAATCAATTTAGATAGCAAGATTAGTGTAAGTATATTGTACATGCTTGAATGTCATTATATATTAAAATTGTACCTATAGTTATTTCTTTGAGTGGTATAATGAGTGTATTTATTCGTTTAAAAAAGAATTTAATTAACAATATGACCACCGGTCAGGCGAATTAAATTTTGAGATTCTGGCTCAGCCTTTCGAATCTCAATTTTTAATGATTCTGAATAAAAAGGTAAATACATTATTAATGATTCAACATAAAAGAAAAATCGGAGGTTTGATATTCATTTATTCGAACATGTCATAACATAAAATGTTCTCTTTATATATACAATTTATCATTAATAAAATACCACGCATTTCTACTTACTAAACAATCCAATTTCCTTATTTAATAATCCATATTTCTATATTTCTACTTTCATAAGAAATAAATTTGCCCATTTCATTTAGGTCACGGAGTTATTGTCTCTTCACGCATATACATATAAATGTAACGATGCAGATACTAAATTTGGTATTAGAAAAAAAGTGACTACTTAGTTTTATTAAAAAATGGTCTTTTATGACAATGAGTACAAGTATGTTTAAATTATCTACATAAATGTCTAAATAGAAGAATGACCTGCGAGAGTTCCGTCAAAGTACTTTCTTATGCATTTTATTTCTTCTCTTTTATCATACAGTATACGTAACAGCTATCATTTAAGTAATCGTAAGGATAAGGTGCGATTATCTCTAGTGCTACCATCTCACAATAACAAGTTTTGCAAAACGTTCGCTCGTTATTATGTTCAAAGTATTATTTTCTATTTTTCTTTGTTTTCTCAAATTATAATGTGGTGGGGTATCCATATAAAAATGCAGAGGGATAAAAAATCCGAAAAGAATTAGAATGATTTCCCCTGTAGCCAAAGTAACGAGAAAAGATA